CCGGATGCGATTAGTTTGGTGCAAAAAGGAAAAAACGAGAGAAATTGCTGTACCAAATGTTACCTCTATGGCGCAACGTAAAAAAGCAACAGGATCGAGCAGAAAATTTGGAGTCTCGGGTGGAGGTGGTATAGCAAAGCGAAATGAGTGAGTTTTTTTGGTAGATCCTCAGGGAAGAAGTGAGCAGGTGTTATTATCCATTCTTTCACTGCTATGCTTTGAATGGAATGAATAGAACCAATGAATAGAACCATGAATATGAACCATGATTAAGAATATGAGCATGAATATGAATCATGAATAAACCATGAAAACCAATGAACCATGAAAACCAATGAATTAGAACCAGTGCACACATTTTTTCCCACTCATTTTCCGCAGAAATTAGCGTTGGAGATGATGGCACTCCTTATCTGATAGTGTAACGCCAAAATTCCGGCGAGTGAACATGAGCTGAATTTTTTTGGCTGTATTTTTCGTTTGATTGATTTCTCGAAAGGAATAAATTCTATGGAATTATTTGGAGAGGGGGAGGGGGTAGTTTAAGAGTCCCGTTAATTTGTAACGTTCGGGAGGAGGAGTTGGAGTGCCTGCCTGGCTGTGGGGAAGCGCTCCGGCATTTGAGGAAATGCGCTCATCACCAAGCAACAAGATACATCCCTTTATTAGAACAGTCTCACAAAGAATAATTAGAAAAAAAAGAAGCATTCAACCGGGATTCGCCCGGCAGCAGCTCCAAGCTGCTACTGGACAAACGCAACAGTTTCAAGCAGCAGCAACTCCAAGCTGCCGCCGCGCACCTGCAGATTACACAGAACAATCGCAATTACAGTTTCATTTCCAGTCATCACATTAAATATCACTGAGGGGGAACTCGAGCCAGGAGACGGGACATTTGCGTACTACAGGAAACCGAAGGGCAACTGGACAAGGCGAAGGGGATTTCGCCTCTAACTTCGCTTCCTTGTTACTCGCTGCTTCTTCCTTTTGCAACAAATTAGGTGCAGAGTTGGTTCTTTCATTACCACAAGCAAATGGTTCACTTTGTGCATACTGAATGATAAAAGGTTTTGATTATTTTAGGTTAATATCTGTTCCTTCTGATTTGCTTGCACAGAAGGTATGCACAAAACGAGTACGAATCGACGCTGAAGCTTGCAGAGTTGATGAACTGGAAAGTATTGGTTCATGGTCTTTCGGCACAACAGTTGAACATCGACCGTTGCGCTGCGAACATCCACTGCCACCACCAACGGAAATTCTGTTGGGAAGACGCAAAACACTGTAGCATAGGGAAAGGTGTAGAAAATAAACGAATAGAAGGATTTCACTTGAATGTCATGTGTATGAAGGCATTTTATGACGCAGTCTGTGTTTCATCCCTTAGCCGTATGCACAGACCGAACTATGCATGCGGGTAGGAATGGGAATCATTGGATAAGACAAAGAAATAGATATAAGGAGCAAATAAAGTGAGAGAGGAAGGGAAGAAGTTAAAACAATCATTATATTTTATTATTAGGAAGAGCTGTTTATGAGAATAGACTGCTGACTAGGTGTTTAATTTCTGAATCATCAGGAAAGATGAATTTGCTCAATACTAATCGGTTCCTGAAGCAAAATCTGAGAACGGAACTTTGCATGCTTGAATTGTCATTGTTTCACTACTATGTTATAATTTTCGCTTTTCAGTAAACATTTTGCATTTTGCTTGCGTCTGTGAATATGACTGGAATATCATTCTGCCATCACATATCTGAAAAAAAAGCTTAAAAAGTACACTTGAAAATTAGCGCATCGAAAACGGAGGAGAGGGAGAGGAGGGGGAGGGAGGAGGGAGGTGGTGAGAGATACGGCAGTATGTTGCTGAGTAGACATTCCTTCCTGGATATACATGAATTACAAGTTAATAGCTACATCTCTCTCGGCCGAAAAATAAATGTTTGGCCGAGACTAAGAACTTCCTGTAGTTAGTTTGCTCAGTACTGCATCACTTATTGGTCAGACTAATGGTGACCTGACAGAGTAATAAGGGAAGTAAATAGGTCATTTTAAGGGCTATCATGTGTTCTCCGCAGTACGAACTCTGAGTTTTTTTGTACATTTTGCACTGTGTAACAGCAGTACATAACGCATATTTTCACAGGGTTGTCTGTTTTTGTGTGTATGGTTCCGTAGAACTCGTCCGTAACTTTTGACGTAGGAACCACGAAAGCTAGGAAGTCAAAGATTTAGGGGACCGTACCCCGCTCACGTGCTGCCCAGAAAATTTAAATTCAGCTTTCCCCTGCCCGCGGATAAACATGTCCGGCCCGTGAAAATTTTGACGGGTAAATTATTATCCCAGGGACCGCAAAGTCTACGAAGCTGAAAGTTTAGGTTAATGACTCCTTGCCCACGTACGACCTCGAAAATTCAAATCCAGCGTTCTCGAGTGTCACGGTCTCGTGAAAGTTTTGGTAGATAAATTATGATCTCGGGGATCACGGAAGGATATTCACTCTTCAAGGTTTCAAATTAAGCTTTCATGGGGTGGTGCGTGAAATTTTTAACTGTTTTCCAATATTTGAACTATTTTTGCATAAAGTACAAAGCAGTGAAAATCATTAATAGGCAATTGTTCGATGGGCTGAATTGCACAAAATGCATGATCGCATCGGTTAGTCTGGTGCGGTTTGTTGTCTTTAATGTTCTGCGCATTCAAATATCTTAACGGTCGACACTTTTCGAATTCGTTCCACGAGAGCCAAGGGCAACATTTTCTCGGCCAGATTTGCAGTCATCATCATAATTTGTG